ATTATGTTTTGTATAGTGGTATTAATTTATATTTTCAGATCTTTCAAGGTGCCAATTATGGAACTCTCTGTGCATTGTTGCCCAAATCAAATTCTGGAAGTGTAATAAAATTATTTAATACATTGGAATGTACAGAGGAAAAAAAACATGCATCATTCAGCACTGACCCCACCTCACCRGAAATTTTTCTACAAATTACACAGTCTTACTCTGGGGTGATCTTGCTGGAATGTTATCCATATTTGGCACTTGTGAGTATTCTTTCTCATATTTTAAAATTACTGATTATGTTTTATATTCAAAGCACAGCATTTACACACATCTGGATGCTACAACCCAGGATAGCAAATATCTAATGATTAAAACATGATTTATTAATAAAAATCTGACTTGTGTTCACTTTTGCTTGTGTTGTCTTGTGTGGTGTCTGGATAAATCACGTTTTCTTATATAACCTGCTTTACAAATGGAGCAGTTGAATGGTCTTTCCTCTGCGTGGGTTCTTTCATGTCGCAAGTAACTATTGCGCCACTTAAAGGTTGACTTACAGATGGAGCAGGTGTAAGGTCTTTCTTCGGTGTGGCGCTTTTTGTGATTGTTTAGAGTTTTTCTCCGCATGAAAGACCGGTTACAGATGGAGCAGCTGAAAGGTTTCTCACCTGTGTGGATTCTCAAGTGTTCGTTCAGGTAAGGTTTTAATCTAAAAGCTGCTTTGCAGACAGAGCAGCTGAAAGGTTTTTCCCCGGTGTGATGTCTTTTGTGACAATTTAGACTTTCTTTGACTGTGAAACAAAGGCCACAGACAGAGCAGCTGAAAGGTTTCTCACCTGTGTGGCTTCTCATGTGTTTCACTAAGTTGGATTTCACTGAATAGGCTGCTTTGCAGACTGAGCAGATGAAAGGTTTTTCTCCAGTGTGGATTTTCATGTGGGTCAGTAAGGTGTATTTCTTTTTAAAAGCTGCTTTACAGACAGTGCAGCTGAAAGGTTTTTCTCCTGTGTGGATTTTGTGATGTATCAAGAGGTATTTCCTGAATTTGAAACTTTTACCACATTCTGTGCAGCTATGCAACTTTTTCTCAGTCTCATCACTATTACCACCTGCAGACTCTTCCTTTGTTTTTGTAGCGTTTAACTCTATCTGAGCTTTGCTGCTGTCCTCCCAGTTTCCATCACTGACATCTGTCTCTGAAGAATCTGACGTTTTGTCTTCAGGATCTGATTCTAAACCTTCATCTGGATCTGGTTTCCCTGTAGGGTCTTTGTTCTCCTCAGACAAACTGTGATGAAGCTGTGAGAGTTGAGGTTTCTCTTCGTAATCTTCACACTTCACAGGAACAAGGCTGAGCATAGACTTTGTGACATCAGCCTCCTCATGTTCTTCTTTAATCTGTGGGGGTTTCTGGTCCTCCTGGTCCAGACTGAGACTCCAGTTCTTTGGCTCAGGAGGAAGCTCCTGTTTGACCACCAGCAGCTGCTGGACGTCTACAGGAAACAGAAACACACGCAAGTTATAGGAACAATTAATATGTCAACAGTTTAAGTTGTCTAAAGTTACTAACTGCTAACTAAACCACACTATTACTACTGTTATTATTTATGTTTCAACTATAAAACCACCAAGAATTAAACTGAAAATATGTCAAAATATTTAACTGGTTCTTTATGCATAAATATATTTTTGCAGAGCAAAACAAACCTTTTCCTTGAATTTCAACTATAGTACCAGTTTCTCCAGCAGATGGCGCTCATGCTCCACTGAATTGGAGCAGCTTTCTGTTTTAATCCATTTTATTTAACACACCGTTACACATTTGTAGGTTTTAGTCAGTCTTCGGACCAACATTCCTAAGAATATGTGAAGAAAAATACAGTTTTATTTCTGTTGTTATTTAGAGGTATTTTATTTGTGCTTGTATAAACTTCTTGACAGAAAAGTCACTAAACAAACACATTTAAGTAAAAAAAAAATTTTAATGTAGCTTTAATATTTTTTAATTTATAGGAAACACTGCCCAAAAAAGAACCAAACATAACTGATGAGGGTTGAAGATAATTTATAAAGAAAAAAAGAAATAAAAAGATACATTATTAATTATTGAAGGTGAAAAGTTAAATACTACTTAATTTSAACAAATAAAACTCATGTCTTTACTTAATTTTTTATTAAAAAATTAACTTTTATTGATTCGGTCCTAAATTTAGAGTCTTATAGGAACAAAATAATTTATAGTAGTATTACTAATGTACAAAAGTATACTTCCATTTTTTGTAATGACAGTATAATTCCATAATTTGGCAGCTGGGTCACTAAAACAGTAACCAAACACAGTAACCAAACACCATCATAAGATTCAGAGTAATTGTGCAGATATTACAACAAATATTACAGTCTCCCATCCTTTGATATATATTAGGTATTAAGTTAATTGTTTTCAGTCTAACACAGCAAGTAGCTATAAAAGTTCATTGTAATTGTTATAAATAAAAAAACACTTTAATATCTAAAATCAGACATAAAACAGGTTCAAGTCATTCTTGAGCTGCAGCATTTCTGTTTATGATCATTAATGTTGTCTTGTATAGTATAGTTTTCTCCTTAAAGCTGCCTCACACACAGAGCAGCAGTAAGGTTTCTCTTCTGTGTGGATCATATAGTGTTTGACCAGGTATCACAYCGGCTAAATATTTTTGCCACATTCACTACAGCTGTGTAACTGTGTGTTTGTTCTGAGTGTTGTCACTTCTACCACCAACATTACACTCTGAAGTGTTTAAACCTGACTGAGGTTCACTGCTCTCCTCCCAGTTTCCATCACTGACATCTTTAGGTTCTGACTCCAAACAATAACCTGGTTCTGGACTTCTTACAGAGACACTGCTCTCCTCAGTGTGGTTGAGATGAAGCTCTGAAGACAGAGGTTTCTCTTCATCCTCTTCACTCTTCACATTGGCAGGCCTGAATATAAACTCTGTGATATCAGCCTCCTCCTCTTTAATCTGTGGGGGCTTKTGGTCCAGACTGGGACACCAGTTCTGCTGCTCAGGAGGAAACTCCTCTTTGATCAACAGCTGCTGGACGTCTGAGGGCAATAAACACAGAAAACTGTTAACTCATCAATAAACATAAAATTAATTCTATAACTTATCCAAATAAATGTTGCATAGATAAACCAGTGCCTTGGATGTTCTGGTGTCAAATAAGCGAATTATTGATCATGTTATCAATAAAATGTTTAAATCAATAAAACAAATTTAAGATATTTACCTCCAAACAGAGAAAAATCCCGCTCTCCAGTTGGACAGTCTGGTTCWTCCATTTCACTTTATCTTTTCTTTAATCACTGCAGCATTTTTTTTTCACAAACGCGATCTGATCTCCATCAAGTGTCTCTGTTTCCCCATGCTAACATTATGCTAAGCTAACATTAATATATTTATCAGGATAAACTTTCATAAAGAATAACTGGCCAAAATTTCACACAGATTTTTCTGTACAAACACAGGTTCCACTGTTTGACAGAGGATGTAACAATGGAGGATTGTTATTAAATTACTGCTGCGGCAGTGAGAACATACTTCCGGTGGTGACTGTTTATGCTGACCTTCAAAATAAGAGCTCGACGAATAAGCGCAACTACAAAAAATAACCACACAAAACATCCTATGTCTTGGTATATACTATCCCCCCTCCAATTTTTCATACCCAATAAATAAACAATGTTACTGAGTCTGATACATTTTCTTTATTCTTCTTATTAGAAAAAAAAACTGGTAACCTTTTTTCTAGTCTAATCTGCAGCTTGAACGACACTGGGCCTGGGGCATTAAAAATAAAACAGTACATTCCACGTGCAGGGATAAAAACATCTTATGACATTCTTGAAACTTAAATCAGTGTTATTGAGCAGGCTTGTAAGTTCAACTAAAATACAGTATAAAACAAAACATTTGTGATTTCCCTGCTGTAGTGTTTCTTTATAAATCTCACTGAGTGGATTCTTTTTTAAAATCACAATAGTTCTATTTCATGTAAAAGTCCCATTACAAATTGAGTTTATTCAAAAACACGTGGTCAGTAATAAGAAAAACTGAAAAGTGACTCTTCAGCGTGGATTTTCATGTGCTCCACAAATATTTTTGTTCAAAACCTTCACTACAGACATTGCACGTGAAAGCTAAGCAGTCGTGAATATCTTTGTGACTAATAAGAACTTTTCTGTATTGAAACACTGGAAACAGACGGAGCAGCTGAAAGGTTTCTCAACAGACTTAAGACTTTTATCACCAACAGACGCCTCATTAGTTTCCACAGAAAATAAATCTGACCGAGGTTTGTTGCTCTCCTCCCAGTCTCCATCACTGACATCCCTCTCTGATGAATCTAAAGTCTTGTCTTTTAAATACTGATCCGGACCTGACCTGGCAGAGTCTGTGATCTCATTACACCAGCTGTGATGAAGCTCTGAGGGCTGCGGTTTCTCTTCTTCACCTTCACGCTTCACAAAGACAGAAACGAAATTAAACTCCGTGACATCCCCCTGCTCCTCTTTAATCTGTGGGGGCTTCTGGACCTCTTTAGAACTGTCACAGAAAGACTCTTCTTTCATTTCCACAGCCAAAAACTCTGATCCAATGCTCTCTATATTCCAGCTGTGACGACGCTTTGAGAGCTGAGGCTTTTCTTCTTCATCTTCACAGGGTCAGGATTAAATATGAAATCTGTGACATCAAACTCCTCTATCTCCTCTTTAATCTGTGGGGGCTTCTGGTCCTCCTGGTCCAAAAGCAGACTCCAGCTCGGCTGCTCAGGAGGATCCGTTTTGATCACAAACATCCGCTCAACAACTGTAAGAAACAACCAGATAAGTCATAGGAAATGGTTTAATGTGGAAAAAAAACTCATTATAAACACATTAATCCTGTCATTTGTTAAATATTATAGTTACAAAATCACTGATGACGGGTGAACATGTAGTTTTGGTGCAAATTTTTCTACTTTTCAAGGCCTGCACCTTTTAAAATCATAGACCAGTGATGCTTGTAAATGCAACATGTTTATAACAAATGTGTTTACATGTGACCCTGAGTGAATGTGGTGATAATAATGTGACCATAAGCTGCTTAGTTTCAACTGTTATTTTTGTTCAAATGCTAATTTGAAATGTCTCTGTAAAATGGATAAGATACATGAATTTACACAGTAAAGTAAATATCAATGCAAATAAGTTGTGAATTATCACTTTGTTAAAAGATCCAATTGTGACTCTTCAAAGTAAAATTTATCATTCAGTCAAAGCATTATTGGAAGTTTTAGACCTGAGGCCCAAAGTTCCAAGTTTCAAATGAAGAAAATAAACTTACACAAATTTCCAACATCCTGTGGGGAAATCGTCACCCCACATGTGCCGAACCCCAGAGGCCTCGTTTCTGACAAACGTAAAACTGAGGTGTCGGAGCATTTCTCATCATGTTTCGTCTGCAGTCGTTGTCTGCGTCTGGGTGTTGCCCTCTGACGTCGCTTCAGTTTTACTGCCGGAGCTGAAAGGTTTCGCCGTTCATATCCAATATTTGTGGAATACACATGATTGAAGGTGTTGTATTGACCGGCGGGCCCTGAAACATGCAAATATAATTACAAAATTTTTATTGTAACTCCACAAGCCACTCTTTCGCCCCTTTTCTGATGTGTGTCTCAGATCAACTTATTTTGAGGCTGTCTCATATATCCTAGAGACTTCAGGTACACAACTAAAGGCATTTAACAGCTAAAAAGTGGATTTTACATGATACATCCCCTTTAAAAGAAGCTATCCTGCACGTTTTACTTGTTTCCCTGCTCCGCCACACATAATTCAGTGTTTGATTTATTTTTTCAAGATATGCAGGAGCCTATTAATCACT